TTATTATAAATTTTTATTTTATATTATAATATCGTAATATATTTATAATAATAATAACGATAATATAGGAATTAATTTTAATTTTGGAACCTATATATTCAGCAACTTTGTCTCTTTCTTCTTCTTCATTTTCAACAATCAGAGACTTCTATTTTACTTTTTGAACCTTAAAGCAAAAATTAGAATACAAAATTATTAATAATATGATACAATATATTATAGCTAATTCGATACGTTACAAATTCAATGAATATTATCTAAATATTAACGATACTATTAAAATCACAACTATATTAGATCCTCATGTTAAGTATTCAGTTTATAAATTTGGTGATGAAACTAATAATGCAATATTTTTATTACGTAGTAAAATAATTCATTATTCAACTACTACCACACAAAATACATCAAACCAAACAGAATTATCACCAGAAAGCATATCATTTAATCAAAATAATACTCATACCTATTTAAGAAATCTTGCAAATCAATTCTGTTTAACTATACCTACCTAACCTAATATCAACAATGAATTAGAAAGATATCTTGCCATTCCTATTGATGAAAATTATAATCTATTAGAGTGATGGAAAGTTTATAAGATACAATTTCCAGTTTTGTCAGCTATAACATACGACTATCTTACGATTTAGGCAACAAGTGTACCATGTGAACAAGTGTTTTCAATTGCTAGGCTTACCATTTCAAAGATACATAACAGGTTAGATCCTGAAACTGCACAGGCATTATTATATCTAAAGAGTTGAATTAGTAAAAAAATTAGTGAAAATATTAATAATGTCGACATAGAAGATATTGATGATATTGATTATGAAATGGATTATGAATGAGTTTTTTTTTTTTTTGTTTTTTGTATTATTAGGATTTGCTTAGTGAAAAAATATACTATGTAGTAATTGTTAACAAAATAGTGAAAGTGTTATATTTACCTTGTAAAAAAATATTTGGGATGATAATATTTAAAATTTAAAAATTCAATAAAATTATAGCTTGTATTTTATTTTATACGCTATGTAATTTCTGTAGATTAAATAGATAACAATAACTGTTCAATAAACAAAAATCGTGATATTAATTTTTATGTATATAAATTAATCACATATATTATAAACTTTATAAACCAGGTTTAGCTACTTATCTTTTAAACCAGGGGGTTTTCAAACCAAATTAAGCTAAGCTGACTGAATACTATCCCTATAGAAAAGTTTTTCCATTGAAGTGTATAGGAGTTGTTGAAGTAGTTTGTATGTTTGAATTTGAGGAAGCCTAAAAGTGAGTAGTATGATGCTAAAAAAATCTGCAGTATTGTTGAATTCATTATTACTATGTGCTTAAACTTTATAAAAAGTAATATTAATATTTTATAACTTAATGAAGTTAAGCAAAGTTTCTCAAATTAGCTAGTAATTATATTTTGTTTTGGTGTTATAGTTTTTTGTATATTATTAAGTTTTGTTGAATTTGGAAATTACAAATTGTGAGTCAGTAAAAATCTGTATGTTGCAGTTTTTTGGTACTGTACTTATAGCTAAGAGTATTATAACAAGCTCTGCTTTGTAAGATGAAACTATATTTTGATTTGTGCTATGAATGTTTGAACTACTTGGTTGTTGTAAATTTGAACTCAGCCAATTCCCATAGAGCATTAGTCTGTACAGATATTTTGTACTGAACTATCAGTATAAAATATTAGTTCTTGTTGGTTCA